TGATTTTGTGATTTTCGGTAATATGAACACACTTCAATATATTGGATATATCAGATGTATACAGGCTACGCAAAAATGTTACTTTTTACCTAACTATTTGTGTCAGTTATATACACATTAAATTGCACAAAAGTTTAATAATAATATTAGAACGCAGTTTATAAACGACTGTCCTTATGTTTTTTGAAACAATACTAATATCTAATGTGATATTCAACCACAAAAGAATTGATTAATAGTTTATCAGTACAACGAAAAATGCTAGTTCACTTAAGCACTGATCTACAATATATGATTAAAATTCAGACTTTTATAACTCTCCGATTCATGCTCTTTAACGAAAGTAGATGGAACATCTTGATTTCACGGATGTCCACTGTATAATGCATGCGGGTTAACTCGTACAAGAGTTTGAACCACTGAAGTTAATGGAAAGAATATAGATGGCTGGATCTACACTATGGTTAAGTGGTTTACCAAGTATTCTTCAAGTGTTTTAGCAGTATGTCCAAATCCGTTGCGACTACCAGGAGCTTGAGGTACACGTCACTGTACAATTCGCTTCATTGTTGGAATCGCTGAGGCTACTGACAGTAATATTTCAGAATTCGTAAGAAAGTCAGTTTATAATTTAGATGAGGTAAACTGAAAAGTGTTCTGCCCGGTTCGATTTTCAACTAAACACACCTATTTCGTGAGTGATATCTCACACTTCGGTTGGTTAGGTGAGTTCCAGTATGCTATTGTGGTGGACCAGACAATATATTAACCCAAAAGGTAGTGACAGAGTTATTAATAACAAATAATAATATTTATATATATAAGTTAAATGTCATAAACACAATAGAAATAAGGAACGTGACTTATTTCACCAGGAGAGTGCGTGTTCCAAATTGATCTGGTATTAAATATCCACAATTATAGATGGTTAATAATTCCAGTAAGTGTGATGGATTCCCCAATGGTATGATCCAGTAGTATATATGGTATATTCCAATTATCGTCTGTAAAGGTAAATGGTATTTGATTCAGACTTCGGTTAACACAAATGCGAGTGAATGTAGAACGAGAGGTTTGTGTGTAGTAGTGTATTTAGGGAACAACCACAAACTTGTCACGCTATGTCAGTATCACAACGGAAAAAGTGATCAAGGTCATTTACTAAAACAACAGGTACAATGATTTAATAATAAATGTACATACAGTGAAAGATTGACAAAATAAATACAAATAATATTAAAAATCATTTACAAAATAAGTTTAACAGACCTATCTCCAAATAGCTCCCCCCTAGAGTTTCCGGAGGTAAAACTGGTTGTATTAACAAAATAATGTAAGAATATGATATATATATATATATGCATATGTGCAAAAATAATATTTACAATTATAAACAACAAAAATTGTGGAGATGGATGTGACATATGCGTTAGTAAAATGCGTTGCGTTAACGTTTGGTAATAGTAGTAATGCAACATAGCGTAACGAACAGAAAAAAAAATGAAAACACTGTCAATGATAATAATGTGTAAAACTGTTAATGATCGACACACGCACATACACAAAAAATGAACTGTTTATTTTTGTGTACTAGTTTTTTTATTGTGACAAAAAATTTTTTTATATAAAAAATGTGACGAAACGAATAATTGTGGGAAAAAAATGTGATTAATTATGTACATTGTGAGAAGAGAAAAAAAATTGGGTAGGATTGATAGTGTGGGTCCTTGATGATTGTTTGTTTTGATTGGTTGTAGTTTTTTTTATACGGCGAAATGTACATAACGTTTTGGATTTTTTACATGTCTCCCAGAACGTGTTAAACCAGAGGGTGTAGTGTTAAGTTTTTTCCTCCTCTTGTTTCTTAGCAATAGATGGGAGTGGTGATTTGTTCGTAGTATTGTCTACCGTGTCTTGAAGAATTTCATAGAAAGTCGGTTTTATTCGATCTATGGAAATTGTCTCGTTCTTTCCATTTTTATTGATGATGAAATGTTTGTTTGTTCGTTTAATTACTTGGTAAGGTCCTTCGTACGGTTGCTTCAATGGCTTTCTCACTGCGTTGACTCGAACAAAATCGAATTTGCAGGTCTCTAGATGTTTATCAAGTTGTATGCGGTTGTTATGTTCGTGCGGAGGTATCGCTTTAATGCGTTGCATCGTTTGTAATAGTCGGCTTGCGAAACCATTTGGATCATTTGACATTGTTGATTCTTGATCGACCAACTGACCCGGTAATGTTAATGTAGTACCGTAAACTAGTTCAGCTGAAGTGCATCCTAAATCCTCCTTGATGGTTGAACGAATTCCCAGGAGTACAAGTGGTAGTGCGTCACTCCATTTTGTTGTATCAGTTTGTGCTATCAGTGCGCTTTTCAATTGACGGTGAAATCTTTCGACCAGACCATTAGCCACTGGATGATAAACTGTCGTTTTAATGTGGTTCACACCCAGAAGTCTTGTGAATTCCTGAAATAAGATAGACTGGAACTGGGGACCACGATCTGTAGTGACGATAGATGGTACTCCATAGTTTTATATCCGTCGGTCAAGGAATGCAGTGGCTACTGTCTGTGCAGAAGTGTCGGCAATGGGACACGCTATAGCCCATCTTGTGAATCTGTCCACCGATGTGAGTATATGCCTGAATGATTTTGATGGCGGCAAGGGACCGACTATATCTAGATGGATGTGTTGGAAACGTTTCTCTGGCAAAGGGAACTTCCCAACAGGACTGATTATGTGTTTCTGAATTTTGCTGTGTCGACATTGTAGGCAGCTTCGAGTCCATCGTTTTATATCAGAGTTAATCTTTGGCCACACGAAACGCTCAGTAATCAGTTTAGTTGTGGCTCGGATTCCTGGGTGTGAAAGGTCATGCAGTTGACGAAATACTTGCCGTCGGCAAGCTTGAGGTACGAAAGGACGGTTACTGCCTGTTGAAACGTCACAGATGATAGATGCATTTGAGAAAGGAATGGGTACAGGCTTAAGAAGCAAGTTGGACTTTTCTTTGCAGCTCTGTATTTCTGCGTCGTCTACTTGCAATTTGGCGATTGTTTCCAAATCAATATCTTGCTTACGTATCAGCATATTTATATCCTTTCGTGATAAAGCTTCAGCTACAACGTTAGTGTGTCCTTTGAAGAAGAACGCTACGGAAGTAGTCGTGTTGTTTACGTGTTGTTGCAATACTGCCCCGACGGCTTTTTGTGGCGCATCCGTGCACAGAATCAGATGAGTTGTGGGGTCAGTATTTAGATGTTGTAGCATGGTGGCGTTGGCTATCATGGACTTGAATTTTTCAAATGCTATTTTGGTGTCAGGAGGTAGCTTGAATGTTTGATTCATTTGCTTCTTCGTACTTTTGTTTTCGCTTCTCAGCAAATCCGTTAGCGGCTGTAACACGTCTGCGCAACATGGTATGAATCTGCGATAGAAATTGCACGTTCCGAGGAAACGGCGTAGTGACTTTACCGACTTGGGCTCAGGGAAATTGTCTATAGCTTCGACTTTCTCTTCAAGAGGTTTAATTCCTTGAGAATCAATGTGATGTCCCAGAAATTCTATAGTTGAGGCTCCGAATATACACTTCCAAGGATTGATAACTACACCATGCTTTTTAAAGCGTTTGAAGAAAGTTTGCAAGTGTTGAATGTGCTCTTCGAGCGATGAGCTGGCAATCAAAACGTCATCAATATAGACAAATACAAAATCTAATCCTCGAGTGACTTCGCCCGAATGGCATCCTTAAAAATTCAAACAGGCCAAAAAGAGTAATTATTGCTGATTTTTCAATGTCTTCGGGCGCCATTGGAATTTGGTGATAAGCTTTTACTAGGTCGAGTTTCGAAAAAAATTGTTTTCCATGTAGGTTTAAAGAGAAGTCGTGTAGATGTGGGATGGAGTACCTATCTGGAATAGTTTGATTGTTTAACCGTCGGTAGTCTCCGCATAGTCACCAGTCTTGGTCCTTCTTTGGTACCATGTGCAGAGGCGAAGCCCAGGGACTGTTCGACTGTCTGATTATCCCAAGTCGCATCATTTGTTCGAATTCTCTCTTCGCGAACTGCAACTTGTGTGGGGGTAGTCGTCTTTTCCTCGCGCGAGTGGGTGGTCCCGTAGTGGTGATAGTGTGTTGGACATGATGAGTGGGACTTTCGCTTAGGTAGTCGGTTCTGGTTATACTTTCGTATCTCGACAGGATATCAGTGAAAGTCTTATTCTCAGGTCTTAACATTCGGACTCCGTAAATCTCGTAATTGGAGATGGTTGTGCCGCAGACCTGTAAGCTTGTATTCTTGTCGATTAGTTTCCTTTTTCTCATATCTACGGGTAAGTTGTAAGCTCCTAGGAAATCAGCTCCGAGAATGGGTTGCTTAACTTCAGCTACTATGAAAACCCACATAAAACGTCTGCGGAGACCGAGATCTAGGATAAGTGATTGTTCTCCGTAAGTTTTAATGATTGTGCTATTGGCCGCGACTAGGTATAATTTGGTGCTTTGAGAGTGCCGTCGTTTAGAGAGGTGTAATGGGATAATGCTGATTTCGGCTCCTGTATCGACCGAAAAATCTGAGCCCGAAATTCGATCCCTGACATGAAATAGACGGCTTGTTGTGTGGCCAGAAACAGTCGCCGCCATCACTGTCTGGCCGGCCTGTTTCCCTGATTTTCGAGGCTGTTTGTTGAGAAGTTGCACGGTTGTGTGCAACGACGTGCCTTTCTACCATACCTCGTATGATACTAATTTTCAAATCTATTGTTGAAAATCATTCTGAATATGTGATTGATTAACAAATCATCCAGAAATTATGTACAGATCACAAAGACAATATGTCATTGATTCTTATTTACACAAGACACATTGACTACATAGTTATCTTTTGTGGACACATCAATTATCAATATTCATATTTCGACAGTTAACTTGAATACTGAAAGCTATGCAAGGATATGGTTATTCTCAGATAAAATGAAAATTTTAAAGGACAACTTACCTTTTTTCCAAACATTCGGAAACTGTTTTGTTTTTGTAAACAACATAGTTGTGATTCAAATGATTCTAGATCTGTTGCTTCACATATGAACTGGGATTGTTCTGGTTCATTTATCTGATCGTCACCAGAAACTGTAAAACAAATGTCATTTGAACATTAGAATTGCGACTAAGTGTATAGATTACAATTTCAACAACTACCAAACAGTATATCAGGAATAATAGTTTTCGCTTGAATGCGTTTTATAGCTTGAATCATGCATAACATGATAGTTATGGTTGATTTGTATGCATATGCGGCAAGTGTGAATAACATTTGAGGTGCTGCCAGCTATCATGACAGAATTTGTCAAGATGATTTCCTTCCAACGAGTACATTTTTCAATGCTGCACAATTAGATATATATTTGAACATTCGTATGTATATACATACTTACTGCTAATAAGCTTTTTCCTGTCTTACGGTTTATCGAACAGCACAAATAATCAGTAAATGTTCTGTAGATCTATATAAATGGAAGTATCATATTATATCAAACCAAATGCATTGTACTCATACTCCATTTGTAACATTTATTCAAGATTGTTTTTATTATCAGTGTGTAAATTAAACGAAGTGGACATTTTTATATCCTCTTTGTAATCAACTATGATGGCAGTTTAACTATATGAGTTACAATAGATAATGCACTATGGGAAACACAACTGATAAGAATAATTCTGAACACTGAGTTACAACAGTATTATAATATAGATAAAAGGAACATGATGTCAATGTCACCTGCAGACATAAGCTCACGTCCTATAATCCAACCGATAATCCCATATTTTTCAGACATTGAATATGATCCATTGAAATACGGTGGATGTAGAAACCCAGTAGATATTTGAATGTTATAATCTTTGTCCAATCCTGATATGTATGGCGTGAAACTGGAGACCTCTGGTCTATATATTTGTAAATATGAAATGTGACATTAATCTATTCCGTAAAATGTATAACTGGTTTAATCTTAGATAGTGAATGAATGAAAAGTGTGTCGTTAAATTAATTCGGTTTACTATTCATTGATGATCTTTCACATATCACTATATTTGTTTTATATCGCATTCCGTTGGAGAGGTTTACTTAAGAGTCCTATATAGATGTGATTTGAACTGCATAAGCTAGAAATGGAAGTGGTGGACAGTTTTCAGAATGACATGATGCTTCAAAATTGATTGAAAGAGACAAAATAAGAGCACATGATCACCACTAACTGATCTTTGGATAACAATCAGTATCATTGGTATCCACCCATATTGCTGATCAAATTTAGTTGATCAGATGATCAACCCATTAATTAAAAGTTGTTGATACTGTGATGTATTTTGGTTAGATGTTAAGCAAGTTTAGGGATTAAACGAAAAGCTCTGTGTGTCTTCTGCTTTCTGTACAAATATTTGAGGTCGGCTGCACTCTTGAAAAAAGATACAATGGAAAGACATCAAGCGTACGCTGATGAATATATTTCAATTGATTTAGACCTCAGATTTAAGAAACGTATGCATAATCTAAATGAGTATCATATGCTGAACAAAAATATCAAATGTGTAGAATGAAGTCGTTCGGATCAGTTGATAAATATTATAATACTGACCTACTGTGATAATTAGAGGTCATTACACTGAGTACGTTGCTACAAAACATTTCATCAGAAGGCTTCTAAAACTCGTTTAATTCTTCTATTAAATTTATGCTGTTTGATAAACAATTTACGTCTTAATTTCTAACAATATATATGTATATATTTTTTTGAAGGCGTTTTGTGGATATCATATTAATTGCACTATTTGAGATCATGGGTCGATTGAAGCTAGATAAAACGGCAGTCCAGTGCTTCCAGGTTTTCCTTGGTGTTCTAGCTTCAATTGACCCATGATCTCAACTATCGAGATATATATATTTGTTTAGTGAAAATTTAAAGTCAATAAATATTTGAGGTAAAACTGAGATAGAGACGTGGTAAACTCGTTATATTCTACAAACGTCATTGACTTATTAGATTCGGTGAAGTACACTATACTACTGAAATTCATTTGAAGTACTTCCTACACTTTTATTTCAAACCATTATAAGAATAAGTAAATTCACATTATCAATGACCATTACCAGTGATCATTTACAAATATAAAACAAGACACTAACACATCCGAATGCCGACCAGCTCAGTATTTGAAACTACGTTCTCCATCCCTACAGTTTCCGAAGTCAGTTAACTATAATCCTGTTGAAGTTACACAGACAGACGACGACTAACCGTCTATTGGAATGTCTTTTTAGTAGTCGTAATTACGACACACTGATATCTGAACTACAGTTCATAGGAAACATTGCATATTAAGAAGAATTTCTTGCTTGAAGTGTAAACGAGTTTTGTATATCATAACACACTTTGGCACTGCACTGGATAAACCATAAAATTGTCAGTCATCTGGAGATCATTCTGCGTAAACGTCAGAGATCGTAAGTTTACTACGTAGAGTAGTTGAATTTAAGTTAGTTCATTTTATTGCTGTAGAACTTGCTCCGCCTATGGTTCCGACAGCTGCTCAGGACACGTAGGATACATTGAAATGATTCATTTGAATTATTACTAACGTAAAGACGTAGGTTTTCACACTTGAACTGCGATAAGATCAAATGACATTTCTCCTAAATCATTCATTCCTCTTCCATTAACAATGTTAAGATCCAAATGCAATTCACAGAACTAACTAATAAAATGGCATGAAAGTGGCACAAATGGAGTAACGTGAACCTTATAAAACATCAAATCTCTATTGATTGATCTATACGAAGGCTAAGAGTTTCACTTGTGAAACAGTTTTCATTCCAAGGATCTACCACAAATTTAGGACAATATTTTTCATTAAGGGATTTACACAAGTTAAGGTTTTGATAATTGATTAGTACACACCATCTGACGTTATCACCATAAAATGTCAGTCAATCGTGATCGTGGATGCGCACTATTGGGGAGTTCCATACTAAGACGAAACGACCGTACAGTGCTTCCACGTTTTCAATTGTAGTTTAACTTAGATCGACTCATGAATTCAACCATTAAAATTTACCTTTAGCTGAGTTACTGCAAACAAACCAGCTTAATTAATAATACAAAATAATGTGTTAGCATAATAAAATGGATGGGTTTTATAACATCATTAAAGATAGCCCGATTTATTCAAGTGGAAGTTAGTGAAAATGAGGTGGTGTTGTTTAATGTTGTCAAGTATTGAGTAAAATAATTTATAAATGGAAGAGTGTATCGAATGAAAAAGTGTTGGGTCATTTAGCAAAGTACTCAAAAATCATTAAGTGCTTACGTTATGTAATAGTTTTTAAAGTAATAAGAGGTAGTAATCTACAGGATTAAAGATAAAGATAACTGTCTACTTCATAAAGGAGAAGAAGCAGGTTATAATTAGCAATTTTAATTTTTAAAATATAAAGGGTTGCTAAGTCCATGGAAGAATTAGGAATTGAACGTTGCTTTCCTGTACACAGAGTTCAGATTTGAAATGGTGAATTTCTGTAACCTCGGCTGTGCAGTAATTACTCATCCAAACCCTTTTTGAGTCAGTTCTTCATACTTTGTAGAGGATTTTCAGTGAAGATTCACATGGTGAAGTGTGCTCCTGGTTGATCGTGTGTTCGAGAACTGAGCTGTTGATTGATTTGTATATCCTTTTAGATTGCCATACAGAATAGCGCTCGAATATTCGTTTAGCAAGAGCTCAATTTGTACGGTCAGTGTAACGTGATTGAAAAGAGCAAGTAAACTGGAAGAAACACATTGAGGTGGCTCAAAGCGGTAGTTTGTACATGAAAATTCCCTTAATGAGTTTCTTGTTGCAGAAACAGTTCATAGCTCTTTTGAATAACGATTGTTTCTCAGGGATCTATATAATCTTCTATTAAATATTTCAGTGTAGTGTCTGTTATTATGTTAAGCCCATACACCTTATTCTAACTTTCGCAAAGCTTAGTCTCTTCATTCTACTTGAGTCACATTCTGACCTTGCTAATTATTCGCTTGTCAATCTTGGCTTACCAGTCATCTCTACTGCGCGTTGTTTTGCTCCTCTCTATTCCATTCACTTCACATACTAAATATGTGTATGCAAATTCCATTCTCGTTACTTGACTTATTTAGTTCCGTCCTTGACTAACGCGATTTAAGTCAATGAATATATACAAGAATAAGCGATAACAAACATTCATGCGATCTACTTGGAGTCAGATCTCGGGTCACTAAAGTGGAGAGCCTTTCGACGAACATTGTCCGATCGAAATGATGACAAAATAAAGGGCCCCACATCAGCTGTGACTTTGAAGTTAGCTTGTTCGTCAGACCATCCCCGTTTATCTCGACTAGGCCTCTCATCATTCGACATTGATCATCTACGTTGATGATCTACGTAATAATCACTAGAGCGGACCCAGGAAAACTGGAGACTCATGTATCTCGGAAGCTGATCTATACAGATCGAATCCTCAACCAGAGCAGCAACAATCCAGGAACACATAAATAAACTGCGTACAAAGTTTGTTCAAGAGGGAGAGAACACACTGCAACACACTTACAGCGCGAAAAAATAAAGAAAAATATCGAAAGACCATCTTCCAAAGAATGACAACCTAATCAACCTCATCAAAGAATATTTGCCCAACTCATCAATAGAAACAAAAGCAAGTACAGAAACCAAGAAACGGTTCCTTCTACAACATATAAAAGAAATCACAAAGACATTATTGAAGCCGTCCGGAATACGTGTAGCATACAAACCAGTAAAATCACATCAATCAATCCTATGCAAACTGAAGGACAAATTACAAAAGAAGAAAAACCAAAAATCATCTACAAAATAAATTGTTCTAACTGAGAAAATCTCAACTTCGGACAAAGTAGATGCCTTCTTCATCTTCGCCTGCACGACACCAATTAGCAGCCAAACACTAAATTATTCTTGTTAATCTCGATGTTGTGAACGACTGTAGACACACATCCGACTAGAAAAATATTGAGATCTTGGATAGAGGCAATTATAAAAGCACCGGAGAATTTTTAGAAGCTTGAGACTCAGGTTAATCGCCAATCAACAAACACACTAAAATCGATCCAATCTATCAACCTATCAGAAAAATCATGAACAAGTACAGGACAGAGAATCAACTCAATGGGAGATACAATCAAAATAAAGGAGTAGACAATGGCATGTTAATGGTCAACAATGGGCAATCAAGATCGAGGTCGACAAAATAAGCAGTAAGTCATATGTGGAGAAATTGGAACACTTCACTTCTACCCGAAGTTTGTGCTGATGATATTGTTCAGAGGAACAATGAAAGCTCCACAACCAAACCATTCAGCTCAGAAAACAAAACTCCACAAAAATTATCCCTCTGAGCTACAAATCTTCCCTAACATCTTAGTAACATAAATAAAATCATGAGATAATCGGATGTACACAGAAAGTCTCTTTAAACACTTTAAGTAAATCATTTAGACACAGAGTCTAGTTCACCTTCAATTAGATAATAATAATAATAATAACAATCAATGGGAATACATTGGTTTTAGAACTCACATTGAATATAAAATCTTTGTTCTCTCTTTCCTCCACATTCAATGATTCCGATGAAATTATTGATAAACTAATATTTTTAACCTGAACAATACAATAGATTGTTAATTATGCAATCGATTAAAATTGAACCAACCTGATCAATAGTGCCTTTATTGTTTTCATTGAACCATGAATTGGATGATAATAATTGGATCAAAGTGATCTTTAATTGATCAAATATTTCAAGTACCTATACATTGTAAACAGATACACTGATTGTAAACAAAATAACTACATAAAAGATGGAAATTATGGATAATTGTTCAGATGTTAATATGATAATCGTAAACATTTTAGTAAACTGTAAATCATAAGGAGGAATCAACTTCGATTCAGGTTAATGCGAACTCTACCCTTAAAAACGACCGTCCATAGGAAAGAAGTCTTACTGTTTGTAAGCTGAAACAGACGACTTCCATTAATGTAACATGATAAACTATTTCACACTAACTTGTAATCCATCGGAATTATGCGTAATTTCGTATTGCACTGAAAGGTGTTATATATATATATATATATATATATATATATATATATATCGTTTTCCCTCTAAAAGCGCTCATTTTTACCTTCAGATTGTATTTTCCACTTGAGAGGATCCTAAATGTTAGTGGTTCGTTCCCACTCTTAATGTGCTATTCTGTGACGTTTCCCAAGGACATTTTTATGCTATATATATACTCTTGAATTGCGTGCTTGTTATTGTTTGTGCTTCTGATTGCTTGTAGAATGTACCTTCCCTTCATTTGAACCGGGTTTTCTCCCTCTAGTTAGCAGGGATGGGACTCATCGGAATAGTTTAGCTTGTCTTGTCGTTGTGTCGCTAATCCTTCATTCCTTTCGCCGATTTTAGGTGATCTCATTGTCTCTTTAAATATAGCAGTATGTAGTGAGATGGATCAATGAGTTAGTTGAATTTGCAATCAGTAATAAAAACAAAAGTAACTTAGTCTCATAATATTTATGAATCAAATCAGATTTTCGTTACAAGCTGATTTCGACTGTGTGTAAGATTCTAAGATTGTACTGCCTAACGTAATGTTTTATTGTGACCACAAAATTGAATAATGTATGAATAATATTTTGCTGAATTTTAAACTTGCCTCCATTTTTTTACTTTCACTTATACTAGAATATTCGTGATTTCGTTCTATTGTCCATCGGAAATTTTCTTTCACTTCATCAATGCAACATGTTGGCGTTTGTCCTGGTAATTTTGCTGATATCCATCAGTATTTTGTTATATAAATAAATGAAACAATGTGGAGAGTAACGTAATTATTATGCTACCCTTAATCAAAAAAAGAACTAAGTGAAGTGTTTGGCGGTAATCCTACACAATGATTCTTATCTCAGTATTAGTTAAATTTATGTAGGTTAATCAAACTGATGAAGATTGATTAACCATGCCTTCAGCGTTATTTAGTAATACTTGTTTTGTCTATTGATCAGTTCTCTCTACTATTTTTGTCATATCTACAATTTAATTAGATATTAGTATTACATTTTGTTTAGTGTATCCATGACCAAATAAAAATAAAATCATTTATTTAAATTATATTAGGGCTCAGTAGCTGAGTGGATAATGCGATGGCGTTTGAAGCGGATGGTACTGGGTTCGAGTCTCAAAGTGAACATCACCGCTGAGATGAAGGTACATTGAGCTGACGAGTCTCAAATAGGACGAAACGCGCGTCCAGGATTCCACTGCTAGCCACTATCCACCTTTGCTTATAAAAGCTTGTGAATTAAACCAATATCGATGCATACGCACAGTATGCACATATGCCAATAACAGACTGATCCATTGCAATCTTAAACCTCAATGGGAAGATACAAGCAAAACAATACCAAGTGAATTTGCCGTAGATTTATTTTATTTATAGGAAACAACATTAGTACAAGGTTTGGCCAAATGTGGCTGTGAATGTGGGAGATAGTAGTTGATAGACAGGTCATAACTCAAGAATGGTAAATCGTATAATGATAGTTTATAGATCAAAATAAAGCTCATAATAAGAAGGACACGAATATGAATAGTTTAGTTATTTAACAATTATACGATAAAAATTTACGTCCAGTATTGATCAATAAATGGATATCAAAAGTTACTATTCGTTATTGTTATCAGGATATAACATTTATAACTTGCATTAGAGATATTTCATTCAACTTGGGTAGAAATTGAAAATTAATGACATTACTGTATGTAACAAAGTTACTTACGATTATCAAAAAAAGAAAACTCTTCGAAATATTGATTTAAGTTACTTCTCATGTTGTATAAGAAATTTACCGACATCATTGTTTGTAGAATTCTAAAAAATAAATATTTGATTGTTAAAAAATCTAAATAAAATCATGATTATATGGTCTGACAATAATTCAAAAGAATTTTATTTTAAATTTAGAATAGTACTGTAGTATGTGCTACCGATGTCGACAGATATAAGTAGTATGTTTCACCAATTGAAAGTGAAATGTCTGGTGGTAGATGGTTAAGAAGGTTGATGAGAAGAGAACGAGAACAGAGATGAAAGTACAATTTATTCTCAGACAACTGAATGACATTTTTCAAATGAATTATTTATTGTATTGTTCTCAGATTTTACCAAGATATTCTTTAATGTTGCGTTAAAATATATTTGATTGTTCTCGCCTGCTTTCTTATTCATTACACTACAAATCCGTAAACGTACAATAAATTTGAAAGTATAGATATTTATACTGATTGCTTAGGAATTGGATAGAATGAACAGAATAACTGCTATTCATATGTGTCGTTCTCCATGAACTGTATTCAATTACTTTATTATGTTTATTCTAATATAAATTTAACTTTTTGCCTTGCACATTTTCTTATTGATTTAATGTTTTACTTTGAATTATTTACAATTGTTTACTAAACACTGCAATTTCTGAGTATCTGGGATATGATTTACTAAAAAATGAATTACTTAACTTCTTTTTTTATCATCTCTGTTTAATGTGTATACAACTAATGGTCAAGGAGATTTCAACAAGTCCGTCTACTAATTATTCATTCTCTACACATTTCTTTTCATCCCGACAAGTGTTTAAAGAACGTTTTGAGTATTCAGCATGGTTTGCATTTATACAGTAATATATTTTCAGAATGAGAGTTTGTGGAGATTATATTAATTTATTAGTTGAATTCATGAGTCGATTTAGACTAGACCACCATGGAATACTTGGAAACACTGGACGGCCGTTTCGTCCTAGTATGGGATTCCTTCAAGATACATTTCCTGGAGTTCTAGTGAGAAGCCGTGACCAGTGGAGTTCAACCGTGTCTGTTGTGAGACAGTTTCTCACTGAAGACAATGAAAGGCGGCAGCTCAATATCGTGGGTTGGTTAAAGTTAGACAATAATACTGTTGGATGTCGGCCGGCTCAGTAGTTTAGAGGTTAAGCGTTCGGCGCGTTTCTTCGGTGTGGGATCGTAGATATATACATATAATCTCAACCTTCCAACGAATGCTGCGAGTGAATTAAGAAAATGAAGAAGTTCACTAGTTTCAACACGGATAGATTCATAAGTTCACCTAAATTTGGAAAGCTTACTAGTCAAGTTCTGTGTTGCTTGAATATGGTTTGCATTAATGAGGAATATCATTTGAAAAAATGGCCACGATTGATTGTTTTTTATCTTTGTGACAACTTAGCAACGCGATCAAACAGTTTCAAAAGAATCAGTCTACAATTCAGTACATACAACCACCGTACTGTTGTAGTTAGACCAAATAGAAATAAATGTGTAGAACTTAGTTGTTAAACATTCCTGACAAATGCCTTTGAATATCCTGTTCGTAACTCAAAATAAACACGCGATTTGACAAGTTTTTATAGCAACAACTCGTTACTGGAAGCATAACATTCAGTTTTGAGAAAAAATACCTTTTACTGCTTGTTGTATTCATAGCCGACCTGTGTATATCACAAACATTCTTCAAGGAATCTGGATCATAGACGATAATTTTCATATTCTTGTATGATTCATACATAATTTCACGGAATACACTTTCAAATAAAAGATTCCAATCGATCTGATCAAAATAAATAATAATTTGAAATATATTTACGAAGACAACAAATGGGTTATGTTACAAATTGATGTTTTACATATGATCAGTGTCACTCAACTAATCTTGATCAGTCATTATCATATGTTTTGATATCTACAATCAACTTAAATAACACTGTACTGCTCTTGTTGACTGTATTTTCACTAAAAGATCTTTCTGTTTGAATTTTGAACTTTAGAATTTTTATTCATATTAATTTTGAAAGGAGTTTACTTCAGCCAAACTCAAAAGTTATTTTTTGAATAAGTCAATCAGTCAGTAACAACGTAGAACTTTGTACTTACGTTCACCAGTTCAAGTTTCCATACCATATTAGCACGGAGATGCAGCTATCGATTCAAATCCCGTAGTGGTAGAGGTAGTAAAAACATAAGCTGTAATCTGAACAATTAGGATTTGAAGATGTTATTCAAAGGCTATAATCCAGTGGAATTAATTTGAAACGAGAAAAAAGAGACATGAAGAATTCAGAAGATTAGAATTCGGGACAACACAAAGAGTGGGTGGACCTGCGCCATTGCAAACGATTTTGAGCCATGTCATTCAAGATCTCTAACCATCTGTTGGCATCATTACGGGGAACTCAACCAGATAGTATACACCTACCAAAATGACTCAGTCCACTTGTCAGTGACTTCATGGATTTGTGCAATGTTTTGTAGTTCTAATTGACAAACAATTATTAGTGTGCATATTAATAAATTTGTAATATCGTATTATTGAGAAATAGACGACTGAGAAAAATCAAGTGTTAGTTTCATGATTTCTATCTGTAACAGAAAAGCGTGATGGAAACAATAAATTGCATTTGTCTCTCTTAGTCATAGAGTATTTCATTTTGGATACCGAGTATACATTTCTTTTGACGTATTTTAATGTGTCATTTATATAGGTTGAATATATTTTTGGTCAACTCAACTTTCAAACTGTTTCAGGTCTCAATAACATCTATGATGAAAATCTTATATCTTCTGAAAGTAGGGATATTTTGATCACCTATATTTGACACTGCTATAAGCAGTTTATTCTCAATAGAACATGATTTGATTACAGAATAGCTGGATAAAACTTTTCAGAACTTGCA